TTTTACCATGTAACAAATAAAATAGATTGTATAGGGCAGAGTCACAGGCAACCTGCCATAAAAGGAAATGTACATGAAAAAATAAACCTTTGCGTAGCTGCTAAGATTTTGGGGCTTTTGTTAATGTAGCATAACCAGCAAAAGCTCAATGATACAGCATATAGAATATACATATACAGATGGACCAGCAGATGAGATTCCAAAGATAGTTCAATAAGCATTAACTACACCCACACACTTCATTACCTAACAGAAAGAATGGAATTCTTGTTCACTAAGATCTGCCTCAAATATTACTTACTTTGTTTCTCTGGCTACTCAAGTATTTAGTCAGGACTTTTTTATTTCCTTTTTTTTCCCAGGCTGGAGTGCAGTGATGCCATCATAGCTCACTGTAACCTCTAACTCAAGGCTCAAAGAATCCTCCTGCCTTAGCCTCCCAAATAGCTGAGACTACAAGTGCCACCTTGGGCAACAGAGTCAGATCCTGTATTAATAATATACAATGAAATTAGCCACCACACTCATCTAAATTTTTATTTTTTCAGAGACAGGGTCTCATTGTGTTGCCCAGGCTGGTTAGGACTCTTGATTGCATATAATGGAAACCCAACCCAATCTTTTTTTTTTTTTTTGGTGCCGTGACTCGGATCAAACCCAATCAATCTTTCAACCTGCTGCTCCTCTGTCAGTCTTCCCAGTCTCTGTAAATGGCAACTCCATCCTTCAAGTTGCCCAAGCCCCAAATCTCAAAGCTAACCTTGCTTTCTCTCTTTTATGTCATAGCTGATCTGAAGGCAAATCCTGTTGGCTGAAAATATATGCCAATTTAATCATTTCTCACCACTTGCACTTTCCACCATAGTTCAAGCAATCATCATCTCTCAATATCTTCTGACTGGTCTCCAGGTTTATACCCCTATCCACTAGAGAATTTAGTACACTGCAGCCAAGGCTTTTAAACATAAAACATGAATCAGAAAGCTGGGCACAGTGGCATGCACCTGTAATCTCAGCTGCTTAGGAAGCTGCAGTGTGCTTTGATTGTATCTGTAAAGAGCTGCTGCACTCCAACCTGGGCAATATAACAAGACCAAATCTCTTAAAACACACACACACACAGGCATCACTTTGCTTATCCATCCAATTTAGAATAAAAATGTAAGTCCTAAAAATGGCCTATAGGGCCTTCTATGATGTTATCTGATTCTGTTTTCTCTCTGATTTCACATCCTACTATTTGTCTTGCTTACTCCATTCTAACCATACCACTGATCTCCTTTTTCCTTGAATACACCAGGTGCATTTCTGCCTCAAAGCCCTTGTACTTGCTGTTCTCTCTGCTGAGAATGCTCTTCCCCAGATGTGGCTTGCTTGCCGACTGTCACCTTTTGGGTTTTTTGAGACAAAGTCTGGCTCTATTGCTCAGACTAGAGTGCAGTGGTGCGATCTCGGCTCACTGCAACCTTCACCTCCCGAGCTCAAGCCGCCCTCCCATCTCAGCCTCCCAGGTAGCTGGGATTACAGGCATGTACCACCACACGGGATAATTTTTTTTTTTTTTTTTTTTTGAGACAAGGTTTTGCCAAATTGCTCAGGTTGGTCTTGAACATTGTGAGCTCAAGTGATCCACCTGCCTCAGCCTCACAGTGCTGGGATTACAGGCAGGAGCCACTGTGGCCAGCCCCCACCACCTTTGTGAGGTCTTCCCTGACTGTCCTATTTAAAATTATAATAACCACCAGGTGCAATAGCTCACCTCTAGTAATCACCATTTTACTTTGTCTTTATGAATTTGACTACTCTAGGTACCTCATCTAAGCAGAATAATGCAATATTTGTCTTTCACGACTGGCTTATTTCACTTACCATAATATTTTCAAGGCTCATTCATGTTATAGCATGTATCAGAACTTAATTCCTCTGTAAGCCTGAATAATATTTTTCATTGTGTCACATTTTCCTTATCCATTCATTTTTTTTAAAGGCATTGCTTGTTTCCCCCTTTTGGCTCTTGTAAATAGTGCTGCGATGAATATTGGTATAGAAGTATCTATTTGAGCTCCTGTTTTAAATTCTTTTAGCTTGGAGTGGAATTACTGAATCATATGGTAATTTTGTTTTTAACTTTTTGAGGAACTGCCAAATTGTTTTCCACAGTGGCTGTATCAGTTTACATTCCCACCAGCAATGCACAAGGGTTTACATTTCTCCACATCTCACCAACATTTGTAATTTTCTGTTTCTTTCATACTAGCATTCTAGTAAGCGTGACCTGGTGCATCATTTGGTTTTGATTTGCGTGTTCCTAACCACTAATAATGTGGTGCATCTTTTCACGTGCCTGTTGCATATCTTCTTTGGAGAAATGTTCAAGTCCTTTGCTACCCCCACTCCTTTTAAAATTTGAGACAAAGTCTCACTCTGTTGCCTAGGCTAGAGTGCAGTGGTCCACTCAGTTTCTATGTGACAGGAATTTAGCAGCAGCTTGCTGATTGGTTCTAGCTCGGGGGTTTTCCGTGAGATTCAGTCTGATGTGAGCTGCTACTGGAGTCATCCAAAGGCTTGCCTAGGGTTGAAGGATTTGCTTTTGAGGTAGCTCATTGACATGGCTGTCAAGTTGGTTCTGAATGTTGATGGGAGGCCTTAGTTCTTATCCTTCACAGAGCTGTTCACACATGGTGGCTGGCTTCCCCTAAAGCATGCAGTCTAAGAAAACAAGGCAAAAACTGCAGTGACCTGGTCTCAGAGGTTATAATTGGTCCCCCCTCTTTTTTTTTTGAGATGGAGTCTTGCTCTGTTGCCCAGGCTGGAGTGCAGTGGCATAATCAGCTCACTGAAACCTCTGCCTCCTGGGTTCAAGCAATTCTCCTGTCTTAGCCTCCCGAGTACCTGGGACTACAGGCACATGTCACTACTCCTGGCTAATTTTTGTATTTTCAGTAGAGACAGATTTCACCATGTTGGCCAGGCTGGTCTAAAACTCCTGACCTCAGGTGATCCACCTGCCTCAGCCTCCCAAAGTGCTGGGATTACAGGCATGAGCCACCACGCACAGCCATAATTGGTCACTTTTGCCATACTTTATTGGTCACACAGACAAGCCTTATTTATGTAGGAGGGGCTACACATGGATACATAAATGAATAACAGGCAAAAAGGATCATTGGGGGTCAAAAGCAAGGATCACTCAGGGTCAAATCAGAGAATGGTTACCACATGTATCCCATGCCTAGAACAATGCCTGGTATAATATGTTCAAAAAAATGTTTGATGAGTACATGAGTCCTTCCTTCTTTCCTTTTTCCTTTCCTCCTTCCCTCCTTCCTTTGAAGGTTATGAGAGTGGTCAAAGCATTAAAGAAAGATTAGAACAGCAAAGGCTTAGGAAAGACAGGATTACTGGAACCAGGGATTTTACTATCCCCAGGATGTTCTCCATTTCATTTAGCTTCTCTGAGTATAGCCAGGATCTCCTTAGAGTTTCATCCTTAGAGCTTCATAATGAGAAGGCAAAGGGCTTTTACTTTTCCAGCTCTGGTTTGAAAAACCCCAAAGCAGGATTTTCCCAGGCTTAACCCCTTGAATCAATCTGTATGATCAGAGAGTTAAGGCAATATGACTGGCTTCATTTGAGTCAGGCAATTATACCTGTTAATGAAAAAAGTTGGAAGAGGGTGTGGACAATAAAAATAGTACAACTCTCTCAGCCATGCTAAGCACTCCCCTTTCTATATGTTCCTACCATATTATATCTTGGTATAACAGGACATATAATGTTATTGTTCATTTACTTGTTCATATGTTTGTTTTCTGTACTAGAGTATACATTCTTACACTAGCGTGTACACAGCTACCATATTTTTGTAACTCCAAATGATACAGGTTTTGTAGTCAAGAGAGACTCATGCTTGCATTTTTGCTTTTTCCTTTTACTAACAATGTGACTTTGGATCAGGCATAGCTTCCATATCTTTTAAATGGGCCAAATAATAGTTGCCTCATGTGGAAGCACATAACATTACATAACATTATTTCTGCCACGTTGTAGGAGCTGAAAACGTTACTGTCATTCCTCTTAGGAAAGTATCTGACACAGTTGAATATCTTTAATATATTTGTCAATAAATGAAGGAGTAAATAAATGAAGCATTCTTAGTGACTGGCTTGGAGATTCACTTGCAAATGGGGATAACAATAGGATTATTGTTTGGAAACCCTTTCTGTGGAGAATCTAAAAACACATTTCCAGCCAAATGATGAAGATTAAGTGAAATGATAGATGAAAAGTGCTTCCACAGTATGCAGCTATGGTAAGTGCTTTAAAAGCACAAGCCATCACCAACGTAGGGGTGTGCACCTATAATCCCAGCCACTTAGGCGGCTGAGGCAGGAGGATCACTGGAGCCCAGGAGCTCAAGTCCAGCCTGGGAAACATAGTGAAACCCTATCTTTAAAAAACAAAACAAAATTCAAGCTATCATGAGAGAGGTAATTCTTTAAAACTAATATATCAGATCTAGAAAAGTACTGAAGAAGTGGCTTTATTTAGGTACCTCTCACAAGGTATATTATTTGCTGCTATATTGCATAGTAAACTCTCAATGGCCCCTGAGTAACAGAGCTGTAACATTCATTAATAGAACACGATAGCCTGCAGAATACCAAAACCTCAGGTCAGGAGTGAAAAAAAAAAATCCAAAGAAGAAATTTCTACCAAATTAATAATTTTGTCTAGTGCCAGAAAACGCCTAATTATAGAAGTTTCTGGCCAATGCCTCAGCATCGACACTCAAATACAATAACAATTATAATGTCATTCTGAGATAAATCAAGTCATGGAAGGAAAGAAGAAGATGGAAGGAAGGAAGGAAGAAGGGAGGGAGGGAGACGGGGGGGGGGCGGAGAAAAGAAGGGAAGAAGGAATGAGAAACCAAAATCAATTAGTATGCATAAGACCAAAAAGCTTTGTTTTCAGCATTCTTAGTCCTCCACATTCCCAGCTCCCTACTACCTAACAAATGTATAAGGTGGAACTGAAAGGGTGTTAAATGGGTGGATCCCAGTGGCAATGTCGTTAACACTCCCTATGAGTCAGCTATAAATGCAATTCAAATCCCCAGCCTCCCTGTCTTCTCTGCTTATCATGGTTACCACCAAAATGACTGCTGCCTTTAGAAACCCTAGTGGAAAACAGGTAAATGTGTAAAACAATGTTTGATTTTATATTAAAACTTACAAAAATGTAATTGCTGTAATAGAAAGTATTTTGTTATTCAGCTAGGATTTGTATATTTCACTTAATCTTCAAAACACAGGAACAGCTTGTTAACATTTCTTCAGTTTTATTTTAAGAATGTTATCTTATTGTATTGCGGCCATTTGAGTGATGAACAAAATTTATGAAATGTTAGGTTTAATTCCACACCTGCAAGAAAGGTATTTTAGTAACTGTTTTTTTGTAATTCAACACTTGCCACAATTCTCTCCTTGCTGTAATTGGCTGCTGTTTATGTTTCTTTGAATACACATTCACAGAGGAGAACTAGTGTGTCTGTATGGGCTTCAAATTTCTCATATGGAGAAAAAGAAAATGACTGGTTACCATAGCATTTGTTCACAAACTCTATTTGGTGGCAATGTTGATGGTTGCATGGCCTTTCAACGACGGTTTCAGAAGTGTTGCCTCCCGTCATGTTTGGGAACACAGTTCATAATAAAGGCTACATTAATTTTTCTGTAAGGTATCATGTTCCTAATATAGTTTCCTTGTTTTTTTTTTTTTGGTGGTTGTGGGGGAAGACTGCTAATTAACGTTAGCTAATGTTTGTACCTGGCTTTAATTAGACCATTTTACAAGAAATAAAAACACATCTCATGTCGCATCTATGATTGGGACTCTCATTCTTATTTGCTTGATGAAGAGACTGAAGCTTCAGAGGTTAAAAGCCAGACAATTAGCAGGTGTCAAAGTCAGGATTCTTCTAATTCATTCTTTATTATTTATCTGTCTTTTTATTTTTGCACATTGGTGCTTTGTGGCTTTTGAAAATAGCAATTGCAATAGCTACTATTTTTGAATACTTCTTACATGCATGGTATATATTATTCTACCTAACTGTCACTTCAGTGCTTAAGTAGATATTATTATCTCCAGTTTATGGATGAGAAGATTGGAGTTCAAAGAACTCAAAAGGGTTGATCACATTTTTGGCAAGAACACTTAAAATTTTAGGTCACAGGCTAGTCACTTGCATCAATGTAGAAGTTACTAGCTCCCAGATAATTGGACAGTTTAAGTGGAATACTAACTCTAGTTCCACCAGATTTTATCTTGCTTTAAAACAAGTATTTTGGAAAGTCAAGCAATGAATGAACTTCTTTTGGTGGGTAGGGTAGAAATTAGCACACTATGGATGTCCCATTCTGGTGGCGCAATTTCAGAAATTTTTTGGGCTGACAGTGTTAATGTGTAGTATCACATATAGAAATGATGTCTGAGCTCGAGAGCCAGAGAGCTTGTTCTTTCCCACAATCATGGCAGATCTAGTCTCTACCTGTGCACAAGTATCAAGAGATTGGCTGGGCGCAGTGGCTCACGCCTATAATCCTAGCACTTTGGGAGGCCAAGGTGGGTGGATCACCTGAGGTCGGGAGTTCAAGACCAGCCTGGCCATCATGGTGAAACCCCATCTTTAAAAAAAAGAAAAAAAGATATAAAAGCAAGAGATTAACAGAATTGTGTGTCTCTTAACAGTGTTATTTCCTAAGATGATGTCAGGGTCTTCTAAAGAATGAATATGGTGGAGGTAAAGTGGTGAAATTGAAGGTTTTTTTTCTTTTTTTTTGAGACAAGATCTTGCTCTGTTGCCTAGGCTGCAGTGCAATGGCATGATCTTGGCTCACTGCAACCTCTGCCTCCTGGGCTCAAGTGATCTTCCCATCTCAGCCTCCCTAGTAGCTGGGACTACAGGTGCATGCCACCATGCCCTGCAAAGTTAAAGCTATTCTTATAACTCCAGTGCATGGTGGCCATAGCTTTTTATTTGAGTACCTTTCAGATTTGTATACTAGAAAGTAATGAGCCTGGTAAGATAGGCTGTTACTATTTTACTGTGAGCCTTCATTTAAAAAAAAAAGTTTTGAACATTAGTAGGTGTTGAAATAGAGTATTATGTCTCCTTTTTCTTTAATAGTGCTACCAATAGGACTTCCTGTTGGATGGAAATGTTCTATATCTGTGCTGTTAGACAGTAGCCACTAGCCACGTGTGCTATGACTGAGCACTTGAAGTATGTGAATATGACTATGAAACTGAACTTTTAATTTAAGTTTATTTATTTTTGAGACAGGGCCTCACTCCGGCACACAGGCTGGAGTGCAGCGGCATGATCTCAACTCACTGGAACCTCCACCTCCTGGGCTCAGGTGACCCTCCCACCTCAGTCTCCAGAATAGCTACAGTTGTGCCACCACACCTGGCTGAGTTTTTATTTTGATTTTTGTAGAGACAGGGTCTGACTATGTTGCTCAGGCTGGCCTCAAACTCTTAGCCTCAAGTTATCCTCTTGTCTTGGCCTCCCAAAGTACTGGGATTACAGGCATGAACCACCACGACTGGCTTAATTTAAGTTTAAATGTAAATAGTCACATGTGGCTAGTGTCTCTAGTGGCTGCTGTATTGGACATTGCAATCCTAGAATGTGCCTGAGATACTCTGGTTCTCTAAAAAAGCTCCAAATACCAGGTGCCCAGGGTGAGGGAGGAATATTGCTCACCAGTGGGTTTGACTTCTCTGGTGAGTCCTCCTTTGTACCTTGGGTTGTTTTTGCCTTTCAGAGGAAGATCTCCTTTGATTTCCTTTCTGTGAGCAATGGAGCTGACTTAAACACCGTTGGCAGTTTAGAGCATGGTGTTTCAGGGTTTAATCCTTGCTAGGTTTAGAGGGGTTCCCCTCCCAGACAGTGACCAAATCAATGCTAAGGGTGTACAGTATTAGAACATAGAAAACTTTGAATTGCTCACTGAATATGCCACAAATAAAACTATTTGAAAAGGTGCTGCTGCCCACTGCACGCTGCATCCTCCATCTTCTACTCCACATGTGGAGTTCCAGGATATGAGCAGTAGAGTGGCAGGAGCTGGAGCAGAGGTGGTGGTGGGTGAAATTCACACCGTGGAGTTTCACTTATGCAAATACTCAAGCACTTGTGAGAGGTCAGAATTAGTTCTTTCTTTGGTTAGAATGAGCTATTTCAGTTAGATGTTACAGTGTAAGCTTTTTCACTAAATAAACTGGTGTGCTCAGGGTGAGTGAAAGAAAGGGGTAAATCAGGGTTAGTGCTGGAGGATCAGAGCTAATGACACAAGCTTCTCTCCTCAGGCCAATGCATCTGAGATACATCTCAGGCACTTAAGCACAGCAGTGCTAAGTTGATATAAATTATAAACACACACATAGACAAATATATAAAAGCATATAATATGAATATTACATATGTAAATATAAATTGTGTCACTAAAATCAACACCAAGCTTTTTTTTTATTTATAAGATTTTTTTCTATTTTTAATTTTTAAAAAAAATTTTTTTATTGCATTTTAGGTTTTGGGGTACATGTGCAGAACATGCAAGACAGTTGCATAGGTACACACATGGCAGTGTGTTTTGCTTCCTTTCTCCCCTTCACCCACATTTGGCATTTCTCCCCAGGCTATCCCTCCCCAGCTCCCCCACCCCACGCTGGCCCTCCCCTTTGCCCCCAATAGACCCCAGTGTTTAGTACTCCCCTCCCTGTGTCCATGTGTTCTCATTTTTCATCACCCGCCTATGAGTGAGAATATGCGGTGTTTCATTTTCTGTTCTTGTGTCAGTTTGCTGAGAATGATGTTCTCCAGATTCATCCATGTCCCTACAAACGACACGAACTCATCATTTCTGATTGCTGCATAATATTCCATGGTGTATATGTGCCACATTTTCCCAATCCAGTCTATCATCAATGGGCATTTGGGTTGGTTCCAGGTCTTTGCTATTGTAAACAGTGCTGCAATGAACATTCGTGTGCATGTGTCCTTGTAGTGGAAAGATTTATAGTCCTTTGGATATATACCCAGTAATGGGCTTGCTGGGTCAAATGGAATTTCTATTTCTAAGGCCTTGAGGAATTGCCACACGGTCTTCCACAATGGTTGAACTAATTTATACTCCCACCAACAGTGTAAAAGTGTTCCTTTTTCTCCACAGACTCTCCAGCATCTGTTGTCTCCAGATTTTTTAATGATCGCCATTCTAACTGGCGTGAGATGGTATCTCAATGTGGTTTTGATTTGCATCTCTCTAATGGCCAGTGATGATGGGCATTTTTTCATATGATTGTTGGCCTCATCTATGTCTTCTTTTGTAAAGTGTCTGTTCATATCCTTTGCCCATTTTTGAATGGGCTTGTTTGTTTTTTTCCTATAAATCTGTTTGAGTTCTTTGTAAATTCTGGATATCAGCCCTTTGTCAGATGGGTAAACTGCAAAAATTTTTTCCCATTCTGTTGGTTGCCGATTCACTCTAGTGACTGTTTCTTTTGCCGTGCAGAAGCTGTGGAGTTTGATTAGGTCCCATTTGTCTATTTTGGCTTTTGTTGCCAATGCTTTTGGTGTTTTGGTCATGAATTCCTTGCCTACTCCTATGTCCTGGATGGTTTTGCCTAGATTTCCTTCTAGGGTTTTTATGGTGCCAGGTCTTGCGTTTAAGTCTTTAATCCATCTGGAGTTAATTTTATTGTAAGGTGTCAGGAAGGGGTCCAGTTTCTGCTTTCTGCACATGGCTAGCCAGTTTTCCCAACACGATTTATTAAACAGGGAATCCTTTCCCCATTGCTTGTTTTTGTCAGGTTTATCAAAGATTGTATGGTTGTAGATATGTTGTGTTGCCTCCGATGCCTCTGTTCTGTTTCATTGGTCTATATCTCTGTTTTGGTACCAGTACCATGCTGTTTTGATTACTGTAGCCTTGTAGTATAGTTTGAAATCCGGTAGTGTGATGCCCCCCGCTGTGTTCTTTTTGCTTAGAATTGACTTGGCTATGTGGGCTCTCTTTTGGTTCCATATGAAGTTCATGGTGGTTTTTTCCAGTTCTGTGAGGAAAGTCAATGGTAGCTTGATGGGGATAGCATTGATTCTGTAAATTACTTTGGGAATTATA